GAGTGGCGCGAAGGATCTGCCTTCCCCCACTCTCGCCCGCTTGCGGCCACCTATCTCTATATCACCTTAAGGGAGGGAGGGAGGGAGGGAGGGAGGGAGAAAGAGGGAGCACTGTAAAAAGCTTACGGTGAATTTCACCGTAAGCTACGGTGACCCCCTGCAGCACTGTAGCCTACGGTGAATGTCACCGTAGGCTACGGTGAATTTCACCGTAGGCTACAGTGAATTCACCGTAAGCTACGGTGAATTTCACCGTAGGCTACAGTGAATTCACCGTAAGCTTTTAACAGTGAGGGAGAGATTGATTGATTGTTTACAGTACCGTACATAAGGACTAAGGAGTCCCATTCCCGCACAATACCGCTCTCAGTAGAGAAAGAAAATAGAGTAACAAACAAACTTGATGCGATATGAGCACAAACAGAGAAAGTTTAGAGAACTTAACAGAAAGCAATGCAGAGAAGGAGAGAGAGGGAGAGAGGGAGGGAAGGACAGAGGAAGGGAGAGAGGGAAAGAGAGAGAGGAAGGGAGAGAGAGAGAGGAAGGGAGAGAGAGAGAGGGGGAGAGATATAGAGAGTAGAGGGAGGAGAGATGGGGTAAGAGAGGGGTAGAGAAATGTGAGAGAAATGGAGAGAAAGAGGGAGAGGAAGGGGGAGAGAAGGGGTAGAGAGAAGGGGGGGGGAGGAAGAAGTGGGAGACAAACGGAAAGGAAGAAAGAGAGAGCCAGACAGATGGAAATGGTGGGGGGAGGGGGGAATGGGTGGTGAGAAGCGAGTGAGCTGCGCCGTGTGCGAAGGGGGCGAGATGGGATGGGGGCAAATCTGCCAGTGCGTCATACATTATGCATCGCGTGCCACATTTTCTTTTTCAAAAATTTAAAGTGTATCTCCGCGCGCCGTGGCGCGAGGGGACAATGGCTGGCGAGCGCCAGGCCACCCTGCCGGGTGCTGCGCAGCGCTGCGCAGGGGACACGACGCTGGGCGGGGCGGGGCGGGGTGGGGCGGGCCGGGGCACCGTATGGCTGGGCGGGGACCTCGTTACCGCGGGCCAAACGTTACCTCATCACAGCAGCCGAGCCCTCTGGATAAGGAAAAACAAGCGGAGAGAAACAAGAGGGGTACCGGGTTGATTCTGCAGAAAAACGTTCATGAACAGACACAACGGTGATGCGGGATCGCATACTTCGCCAGAGCCGCAGGGGCTATGGTGCCTTACCCGTACGGGTGAGGGGAGCGTAGAAGAGCAGGCAAACCCGCAACACAGTGTCTGCCATGAAACATCCGTTACTCGTCACACGGCGCCACGCCATACCATTTAAATTTCCAATTTTCTAATGATTCTTGTGTAGAAACCGATCGTTTTGTAATACTTAATGCCTTGTAAACGAATTTTTCGAAGATATATCCAGTTATCGAACCGAAAAACAAAGGCACTCACAAAAGCACATAAGAGTTCAGAAATCCCGGAAGGAGGAATTCCGATATTAAATTCGACGACGGTAATAAAAACAAAACTAAAGGGTTGACTAACTTTCGCTCTAATTTCTCTGCGTAATTTCAATTTCAAAACAGAAATCGTCTGAGATGGAACCGTCGCGACCTCTCCAGGGCGCGCGCTCGGCCGTCCTCCCGAACGGATCGATAAAACGCATCAATTACCGAGCCGTAGCCGAGGCCCCGGCCTGTCAAAACGCGCAGGAAGCGACCCCTGCCGCTCGCCCTGCACACACAATCCCCCGGCTCCGGCCGGAGGCACCCACCAGCTCCGCCTGGCGCCCGGGAGGTAGGCAACGGGAGCGCACCAGTGAGCGCGCGGCGGCAAGGCTGCCTACCCTCGCGACGACAGGCGGCAGGCGGGCGGAGATACGAGCAGCAGCAGCCCTGCAAGGGCGAGAGGGAGGGAGGGAGAGAGGGACGGACGGAAAGAGAGGAAGGCAGGGAGGGAAAGAGAAGAAGGGAGGGAGGGAGGGAGGGAGGGAGGGAGAAAGAGGGAG